GATGATGATGATGATGATGATGATGGTGATGATGATGATGATGATGATGATGATGGTGATGATGATGATGATGATGATGATGATGATGATGATGATGGAGGTGATGATTTTGATGATGATGGTGTTTATGATGGTTCTACTAATCCTTGTGATGATGACGATGCTCATGACGATAATGATGACGCCGATGATGATGCTGATGAGTATGATGCTGCTGATGATGATGATGATGATGATGATGATGATGATGCTGATGATGATGATGGTGATGGTGATGGTGATGATGATGATGGTCATGTTGATGGTGATGGTGATGGTAATGGTAATGGTGATGCTGGTGATGATGATCATGATGGTGGTGGTGTTGGTGGTGGCGGTGATACAGAGGAGGAGGATTCTGATGATTGTGATGGTGATGGGATGGAGTAGGAGTGAGGATGCCCAATATTTTGTTATTTCCAAGGCGAGGGCACACCCTAAAAAGGAATACTGGGGCTGCTTGAGGCACCATGCAGAGGGCGACTGCCGCGCTCCAGTCATACAATCAAAAGCCGCGCCTAAGGAGATGCAGCTGCTTCGCCAGCGTCGCCCGCTGCGACTGCGTGGTGGCAGCGTGCATCCTGCATGGTGCACGCGATCGCACAGGCACTCACCGTCGAGGAACCCAGCTACCAGCGACGCGCTGTGGCGCCCAACGGGGCACATGGGCACACCCACACGAGCGACGCAGAAAAACGGGTTCGACTGCGCCGACATTCGCGCGTAGGTTGCCCTCGCATCTCCTCTCCGACAACCACGGGTCCGACCGCGCCGACATTCGCGCGTCGAGGTTGCCATCGCCTCTCCTCCTCGACGCCGCAGGGAGCACCCACCTGCGGGCGGTCCCTGCCCGAGGCCAGCGCGAGACCGACCGCCCCTCCTCCCCTCCCTTTCCCTTCCCCCCCCCCTCCTCCTCCTCCTCTCCTCCTCCTCCTCCTCCTCCTCCTCCTCATTCTCTCCTCCCCTCCTCACCCTTGCCCCTCTCCTCCTCCTCCTCCTCCTCCTCCCTACGCATCATCCTCCTGCTCATCCTCATTTCCTCCTCCCCCCCCTCCCCTTTCCCGTCCTCCTCCTCCTCCCCCCTCCTCCCCCTCCTTTCCGTCCTCCTCCTCCTCCTCCTCCTCCTCCTCCTCCTCCTCCTATTCCTCCTCCTCCTCCTCATTCTCCTCCTCCCCCCCCTCCCCTTTCCCGTCCTCCTCCTCCTCCTCCTCCGCCTCCTCATGCTCATCCTCCCCCCCCTTTCCCACCCTTTCCCTCCCCCTCCTCCTCCTCCTCCTCCTCCTCCTCCTCCTCCTCCTCCTCCTCCTCCTCCTCCTCCTCCTCCTCCTCCTCCTCCTCCTCATCCTCCTCCTCCTCCTCTCTCTCCAGGGCCGCCACGATCCGACCCGATGCGCACCGATGCGCCGGCCTCTGGCCGCAACCACGGCCGCGGCATCCGAGTCGGTTCGGCCTGCCAGCCGGAGCCGGTGCGCGGCGGTGCGACCTCGCTCCGATGCGCCGGCGATCCGAGCCGCTCCGGGCCCGCTCCCAGTGCTCCTGCTGCTTCTCCTCCTCCTCCTCCTTTTCTTCCCGCTCTCTCCTCATCCTCCTCCTCCTCCTCCACTTCCTCCTCCTCCTCCTCATCCTCCTCTCCTCCTCCTCCTCCACCTCCTCCTCCTTTTCCTCCTCCTTCTCCTCCTTCTCCTCCTCCTCCTTTTCCTCCCCTCCTCCTCCTCCTCCTCCTCCTCCTCCTCCTCCCCCTCCTCCTCCCCCTCCTCCTCCTCCTCCTCCTCCTTTTTCTTCCACTCCCTCTCCTCCTCCTCCTCCTCCTCCTCCTCCTCCTCCTCCTCCACTTCCTCCTCCTTGGTTAGGCAGGGGGTTGGGGCAACTCCAGGATTATCGCCTATTGGGGTATTGAGAATGGTTCATCCTGGCCCGTGGTGGTGTGGAATGGTTCATACAATGTCTGCGGTACCAAGAGGAATGTCATCACGTATCCTCGGAAATTGTCATAGCTGCGTAACGATGACAGACCAGTGTGTGCAAGGTCAAGGCATGCATGCTGCAATGCACCAATGTCGATTGGCCAGCAGCGTCGGTCCACCAACACAAAACAGAAGGCGCGCAGTGATATCATCGCCTAGTCCCTGGCACGCGCTCACACGTGCCTCCACACGCGCGTCGTATATAGCTATATCTTTCCCACGTTGCTAAGCAAGCTCGCGCCCTTAGGGGGTGGATACCACTGTGACAGACCGAACGGACAAGCGTGACCCCCCGCCTATATCCTTCCTTGGGGCTTGTTCTGGGCAACGGGCTTGGCAGGCGCGTGGGACGACTGCCAGTTAACAAGCTCAACAAAAATCCTCGCCACCCTCATCCTTGCAACCCTCCCCATCCGCATCCTCTGCTTATCGTCGTCCGTCGCTCCTACGTCGTTTTGCTCACCGTCGTCCATCACACCTCATCTTCCCTCCCTCCACCGCCCCTCCTGATTTGCACAATATTCCGTGCGTCGCCCACTCCCTCCTCCATGAACCCCCTCCGTTTCTCCTCGTCTCTCCCCCCAAGTTGCTATCGCATTCCCCCATTGCACCTCATCCACACTACATCCTCGTTCACCCTCGCCCCTCGCAGCTCAATCATGTCGATCGGATATTTTGGGGAGGGTCACGTGACGAATTTCACCACACCTTTTATGTTTCCTGGTAGTTGAGATGATTGGATGTGTTGTGTCAGACTATTGTGTTTTTTTGTCTTAATTGTTATAGTGAGTGTGCCCCAGTCCTGCCTCCTCTATTGGCCTATCCTTATACATCTTGCTGTTAGGCTACAGTTAGACTTAGTGGTGGGTAGGCAGATCACGAGAGGTCCTGGTAGAGATGGGAACGATTTAGGGGTTACAATTTGGAACTTCGGGCTCACCAAAGGGCGCAGACACGAAATCGGGGGGGGGGGAGTGCGGGCCGAAGGCGAATATTAAGCGACGCCCCCCAGGCTTTAAGTTTAGCTTGGCTGTCTGGAAGGCTTAGCTGGTTGATAATGTTATGGTTGGTGTCATGTGCTTGGCAGTTGTCCCGACAGTGATGCGATGGTGGCAGTGGTGTGATGATCGACGATCCAGCACCTGAAGCAATGTCACCGCTTGCAGCAGGCAAGCGCCCCGTAGGTCGAATTCCCTGGCTGGGAATCTTAAATTGCCTAGAACGAAGCAACTGAGACTGCGCTGCACTGGACTGGCTCTGCGACGGTGCCGCCCCTCTGCTCGAGTCAGAGCCCGACGGGAGCGACGCGACGGGGTTGCGCAGCTTCTTGCGCTCGCTAAATTTTGGAATCCACTCGCCAGGCTGAAACGTGCGCCTTTTCTGCTTCGGGGTCCGAGCAATCGCTTCTGCCAATGCCCTGGTGTTCTGTTCAACGATCGCATCTGAGCTCGGATCGAAGACACTCACTTGATCGAGGAGCGCATTGCCAGTCACAACTGTCTGATACTTCGGGCGTGGTACAGCGGATGCCCCATCATCTTCACACCGACGTTTTTTCTTCCGATCCTTCCGTTCTGGCGCAGGCGGGTCCTTCACGGACCAGAGGTCGACCATCTCGATCGCACCGCCACCCTCCATCGGAACGGTTGCCGTTCGGTGAAAAAGCAGAACGGTGCACCCCTGTCGAGACAAACGGCTGAGGCAGACGGTGCGTTCATCATCCCAACGCAGTGTGTACGTTTGCGGCAGACTCCGCGGACCCAATGCAATGGTGTCGATGGTGGGAACGGTTTGTATAATTGTTATGTATTGCGTGCGTGCATGTATCGTTCCACGTATGTAGGTGTGCGTAAGTTGTGTGCGTGGTTGTGCACGTACCCTATGTTTATGTTATATGTGTATGTCCGTTTGCCTATAGTACGCGTGTTCCCTCCGTGCGCATATTCACGGATCGTCCGTGCTTGTGTTGTTGGGTTCTCGTTGGTCTGCACCTTACAGTAACGCATGTGCGAAGTGCAAATGTCGCTAGCTACGCCTACACGTTTTGTATAAATAGGCATGTTCCTTGTTTCCATATAGGTTCCTATCTCTTTAACGTTCTGTAGGGCCCTCTCTCTCTCTTTATGTGTCTCTATCTCCTGTCCTGCGTCGCCGAATGCGAAGGCGGGAGGCCTCGGCCACGGGCAGGCGCAGGTCTGACACAGTTTGGTCATGGTCAGGCGGAGCGGAGCGGCGAAGGCGCACAGTGCAGCACGCAAGTCAAAGCATTGTCATATCAAGATCCGAGCTCCGCTCGGATCTGGCACAGAGAGACAGAGAGCCCCAATCCAGGCCCACTCCCCGTCGGTCCAGCAGCCTGCCAGTTAGCAACGATGGAACGTGCCCTTCATATATTAGTACTCCTCCTTGGCGCGTCCTTCCCCTGAGTTGGTCTTTCTCGCATTATCTCGTCGTTCCTCCGATCCTACATCCATCATCCGCGCCACCCATCTAGCCCCTTCCTCGTCGCATCTGCCTTTACCTCCTGCTCATCTTGCTCCTCCTCATCCTAGTCATCCTCATTATCTCCATCATCGTCCGATTCTCCAACGGATCCTGTTTGAAACTCCCCTTCTGATCTTTCGCTCATCTTCTTGGCCGAAAGCGCACGCAGTCGCCGCCCAGTCTGGCCTATTGTTTCCCCCGAACCTCCCCCAGGACCCAGCTCCAGGCCGGCAGCACTTACTCTTTCGTGAGCATAGTGTTTCTTTTCCCCCATCTCTGCACGCATCGTCTGCCCACGCACCGCGGTCGACGGCCACGGCCTTGCCCACGCCTGCTACCAGGCATCGCACTGAGAAGGAGGAGGCAGGAGTGGGAAGGTGTCGAAGGAGGTGGAGTGAGGAGGGAGGAGGAGGAAACCTGCTTGAGGGTAAACGGTACACGAGTACTATGTTGGGGCAGCTGGCAGAGGGCAGCGTAAAGATGGGCACAAGGAAAACCGCATCGAGAGTGCAATCAGACGTTGAGGGCATCAACAAACTTCTTCAGGAAGTCAAAGCGCTCGCCCCAGAGCGAGTTGGCGGTGCGCGACTTCTGGAGGTGGTCCATGTTGATCTTCAGGATGGCAGCCCAGGTCTCTTTGTGGACAGTGATGTTCACCCACTTGTCGTTGAGCAGCGTCATGCTCCAGATTGTTCCAACCATTGTCATAGCCTCGGACTTGCTGGCCTTCTCCATCGTGGCGGTCGGGGGGCAGTAGATCGGCATCATGATGAACCCAAAGGGAACGAATAGGACGTCCCCAATCCGCAGCTTGAAGACATGCGACTTCTTCTGGTACGTCTTGCCACCCTCCGCCGTGTCCATGAACTTCTTAAGGCCGGTGAGGGCCACCCCGTTCTTGACCACATCATTGGCGTCCACGATCTGGACCACAATCGAGTCGGTCTTCGCAACGAACACCGCGGCCATACCAGGCAAAGGGCACTGATTTGGCCCAGCACGCCATGTGTAGGGTCGAACGAAAGTCAGCCAGGGAACGCCACCCTTCTCGGACATGATCTCCAGGTGCTTCTCCGAAGGGTCCTCGACCGCATGCTCAACGAACTCGGTGATCTTATCATGGCCGAGCTGGACCCTCCCCATGCACCCAGCCCACGACTTGTTGTCCAGCGAAGAGATGGCATCCATCAATGACTTCTCGGTCTTCTCAACGTCGCTCGAGATCTCCGCGATCATCTTGCGCGTGGAGTTGTCCACGCTCGTCCACAGGCAGATGCGACCAGGGATGATGTGATCTGGGTTCTTCTGGATATCCTCGGACAGGCTGGCCTCGTCATCTGCGTCCTCGAGCTTCTCCAGGGCCTGCGACACGATCTTGGCGAACGTGTTCGGGTATTTGCCAGCAACCAGGTGCCCTGAGACCTTGGTGCGGGCATAGCGTTTCTTCTTGTTCTCCTTGCGAGTCTCCCTGGACGCCTTGTTGGTGACGAGCTGCATGCACTCCATCTGGGAATCGACCTTCTCTCCTAAATCCTCGAGCTCGGCCTCAACCTGCACTACGTCGTTCCTCGCGCGCTCGTAGTCGGGCCGCTTCAGCTTGCTGATGTGTTCGTCGAGGCGCTTGAGGGTGTCCATGACTGAGGCGTGAGTTTTCGTGATGTCGGTGGGACCGCCCTCCAACTCAGCCTTCTGTTCTGGTGTGAGCTTCGTTGCCTTAGCCATCATCTGCTTGTACGGGGACTTCGGCCCATTGATCGCCTTGATCGCCTCCTTCACCCGTGCCGCCAGCTTATCCCGATTCACCATGAATTCGAACGCCCTAGACTTGGCGGGGGCCCTTCTCGAGGCTGAGGGTGCTCGGGGCGGCCGAACAGACGCTCGGGGCGACGCTCTGCTTGCCAGTCCTGCGCCTCTTGATGGGGTCGGCCTGAGGGGCGCGCTCAAGCCCGAGAGGCACAGGCGAAGATAAAGCAATTTCACATCAAACTGGGGGCCGAGGGGAGACGCAATCAAACAAGATACTCTGGCCCCCACTCCCCCAGATAAAACATGGGATCACACTGCGGAGAGACGGAGGAGGGAGAGGACGAGGGAGAGGAGGGTTGGCCACATGCATCACGCATGTGATGTTCGAGCGGCCATGGCGACGAGGAGGATGACGGGGGTCGGGGGAGGGGCATGAGGAGTTTGCATGTGTGTTGCACCCCGCGCCTCCTCGTGTGCCTTGAGGTTGTCTGAGGTCATCACCCCCAGGCGCTTGGTGGCCGATCTCGGGCTCCTGCGCGGCAGAGGGGTGGTGGTCGGTGATCTCACGGGCTCGATAGACTCGCTCGTCACCTCGCAGCCGGAACCGTCCTCATGGGAGTCGCTCGCGCCAGGGCCGCGGCTGAGGCTGCCACGGCTGATGCTGCGTCTGTCGCAAGAAGCATTTCGAAGAGCCTCGCCGCGAGCGTAGCCATCCGTGGCGGCTGACTTCGAAGCACAGTCAGCTCTCACACCCGGTCGGACCGCCGAAGATGCGTTGTCGTCAATGCTGATGCACGGTCGCCCCATCTTGTCAAAGATCTCAGTGCCATCTCTCTTCTGGATTGCGAGCTTGATGTCGAAGTCGCGCTCGGCCTCCTCCTTCTCGACTCCCTTCCAGAAGGACATGTAGTTGATATACCTCACCTTGCAGAGCTCGAGCTTCGGGATGGTCCTCTCCTCCTGGCGGAACTTGATGGTGCAATCGAGCATGTTCTTACTCTGACGGCGAACTGCAGAGTCACGTGCGCCACGCTCGCACACATTAGGGAGGACGATGGCCTTCCACTTCGTCGGGTCGTCGGTCATGAGGTTGTCGAACTCTCTCTTGTCCTCGCATCGGCGCCTCGACGACCGACACGCATTCAAGCAGAGATCGTGAAGCTCAAAGCCGAGGAACTTCTTGGTCGGGTCGCTCTCCTGACACAGGTAGCACTGGGGGGCGCCCTTGCCAGCAGCAGGGGCAGGGCGTCCAGCCTTGGGCCCTCCTCTCTTGGTGTGCACCGCCCGCTTGCAGCCTTTCTGGCCGTCCACGGCCTCAGACTCAGAGCTCTGATCCCCGAGCACGTCGGACTTGACCATAGCGGGGACGCTCGCCGAAACCACCCAGGACAAGTCAACCCAGGGCCCCGAAGAAGTTGAGCTCTCAACTCGAAGAAGCACTCGAGCCACACGTGCCATGGAGTGGAGGAGGCTGAGGACTGGAGGGAGATTGGCGATGTGGGAAGACCGTGCCCCGACTGAGCAGGAGCGAGAGAGAGGGCCCAGAGTACGCAGTAACAGATCGAGGGGAACATGGGCCCTGGTGTGCAATTTGAACCGTCCAAGAACACCTGCGACGGCCGAGCCGTCGCGGGTGTGATTTGACGATTCAAATAGCACCCGCATTGACAATTGTTCGCATTATTGCCCCCCTTTTTTTAGAATGTTCGGGACGGACTGTCGTTTGACCGTCCCCCCCCTCCTCCCCATGGCAGTTGCAGGGCACATGCGCTGCATGCTCGGCCATGGCGCAAGGGTTGTCCAAGGGGCCCGAACCACAGGGTGCGCCTCCGCCCCCCGTGCCCTTCTCCGCGGACCTCTAGGCTCCGTCGGCCAGACTACAAATGTGGGGCTTCCCAAGCAGACTACACCCGAGAACGCCCCAGCGTTTGGACACGGGCAGCCAAATTAGCAAAGTCACGTATTCGACCTACGGCTCTACCTGTTCTTCGCAGGCAAGACACAGAGTCCGCCTCGACAGATTCGTTACATACCAGATTCCAGGCGCTCATCCGATGCAGTCACACGCACATCAATCCTTATCATGCTGTCATAGTAACACCGTAGTGATTCATACTGGCCTGGAGTGGTTCATCCTGGTTTGGAGTGCTTAATCCTGATTTGGGAGTGGTTCATCCTGGTTTGGAATGGTTCATCCTGGTTTGGGGAGTGGTTCATCATGGTTCAAACTGGTTCATCCTGGTTCAGAGTGGTTCATCCTGGTTCGGGAATGGTTCAGAATGGTTCATCCTGGTTTGGGAGTGGTTCATCCTGGTTTGAAGTGGTTCATCCTGGTTTGGAGTGGTTCATCCCGTAAGTATAATGATAAGCCCGAAATGTATAAATTCACCCCATACAGCGACAATGCTCGGTTGGTTTGTGCCCAACCATAATTACAAGATGCAGCAATCTAAAGCACCCTTAATTACCCCAGCTAGAGATGCACACTTCACGGCCGCCCCCACACATGAAGACATCTGAATCAGTCGGGTCGACGGCCGAGTTTTCCTGATCTGAGGGTGGATGTGAGGCTCTACATGCGCAGTAATCCACGCAGGGAGGTGAATTCTGCGTTCGGTTGCCCCGACCCCCCAACCTCCTCATCGCGCACTGGGTCGATTTTGATAAGGCGTGATATGGGGAGCGCGCAGCGTCTCTACATCTTCGCCCGTTTGGGCTTCTCTGTTGCAGTGCGCAGGCTGGGTAGCACGGATTCCTTTCGCAGATCCCGCCCACTCCGAAATCGAACCGACGGAAAACGAGCTCAACGCGAACTCGAAATCAATGTCAAACACGTTTGAACCGACATCGAAACGACTTACGTGTGCTGCACGCCCACGACATGGTTTCCTTTATCAAACCCAGTCGTGGACATCTTAACCATGAGTGTTGAGTCGCCATCTCCGCCGCCCATCATTAGTGCAGTGTAGTAGTGTAGTGCCTCTCTTTGACCAGCTCCATTACGACTCCTATCCCATACGATGCTTATCTGACCCTCGCTCCTCGATGCTACCATACAAACATTGATCATTGTCCATGGGTGTATCGCACCTTTCTATTTCACTACTTGAATATGTGCGTTAGTATCGATGCGTCGTTGTCCCCCTCTCCCTCTCACGCTGTATATACCACGTATGTGTACACCACCCTGTTGCATGCAAACAACCTACATAGACACAGCCCTCTACAACTCCCCCGATGCATCTCCACTGCACCGCTACGGGGCGACTGCAAATGCCCCCGCGCCCCACCCCAGTTGCCGTCAACCGTGGGCCCCTTTGGCTCGCCAGTAAGCGTGGGCAAGGTGCAGCGACGATGCCCGCGAGCAAAAGACAACGTAACAGTACGTGTCGACAGGGTGATACATCTGACAGGAACTCAATGGGGCTGGTCCGCACACGCATCGACATGGTGGCGCGGGCCCGTTCGGCTGCCAAGCTGGTAAGACACGCGCTTGGCTCTGCAACGCAGCACGCAAACGACGCACATCATCATGCCACTGCAATGCGCACCAAGTCGCGCAATGAAGGAGGTTCAACATGTTAGTGTGCACGTAAGTTCTCACGATATATGTGATTGCGCTGCTTGCATGGTCCTGAAGGTAATGCGTGTACCGTTGTTACTGTATTGTCTGTGCGCCAACATGCGACCCCCTCGCCGACCTCGCCATCGTTCGTGCGACGGTGGGTCAGTTATCCCTCAAAAAATCACGCTGGGCCTGCAAACCAGGCCGCCAGCGCTTATGCTGGTCATTGGGCATGTGGCTATGCTTCAACCACGCCCCACGATACGCTTCAGCACACCTAATCCCCAAGGCATCCCTATTGAGCTCGAGGCTCCTGGACCTCTTGCAATTAATATGGTCAGGACTATTGCAGACAACTCCTAAGCGCTCCCAGTGAACATAACCTCCACTATGTTTTCGGGGAGTGAACGTCACCGCCTGTCCTAGAATGAACTCCACCACCCCTGGGATCGCAGACTTGGCGATGTCAGCCACGGGAGGGGCTGGGGGCGGAGGCGGAGGCTCGCCCTTGTCGTTGCCCCCGCCCATGACGTCGTCGTCAGAGCCGCCTCCACCGCCACCCACTATGACATCATCATCGCCACCGCCTCCTGGAGCATGCCCTCCTGGAGGCTTGGGGGGTTCAGGCTCATCACTCTCGCCGTCGTCGCCGACAATGTCTTTGGGGGCTGGAGCTGGCCCAGGGAGAACCACTGCTGGAGCTGCAGCGATATCGCAACCCTTCAGCTCAGGCTTGCCCTCTAGCAGGTTCGTGTAATACTGAGCCCCTTGGTTGGGAGGTTGGTTCGTTCTCGCCCGCAGGAGGAGCCTGTAGTATGATTGCGGCTGCCCGCTCGGAAACGAAATAGCTCCGTCACGGTAAAGGTCGATCAGAGTGATGATGCATTGCAGGTAGGGGGTTAGGCTGAGCAGTTTACGTTCGTCATATTCCTTGGGGCATTCAGCGTCATGCACGACACGTTTGCTGACGGCCTTGTAACCATCTGCATGTAAAACGTCAAGCAAAACAAGTACAGGTGTGCTGGGGTCGCTGAGCGGTTTCAGGGGGCACAATTGTTTCGGGTTCCGAAGCCTCACACACCCGTCCACGATACTATCTGCTACTTCCCATTTTTTCCATTGATCTCTGGCGATATCCATTGGGCCGCCACGAAGGGCAGCGATATCCATTGTGCATGGGTCCACGAAAACATAGCAGTGAATATCGTCCCCGAGAGGTTCGCCGACAAGATCTTCGCCGAGAGGTGCCGACACCTCGAGGGGCTGCACAGTGATGTCGTAGATGCCGACCTGGTCCTGTGGGGGGATGCTCGAAACAAATGCGCAAGCACCTGGCACCCGCACATGGGAGGCCCTCGTTGTATGATACTGCCTCGCCCAAATTAGGCACCGAACGATTCGTATTTTACCTAGGCGGTGAGCGAGCTACACCCAACGCCAATCTAAAGCTAGATGGCAATCTCACGCTGGTTCCAGGCCGGCCTAAAACGTTCCAACGTGCCCAGCGGGGAGATGCAATCCCCCCCCTCCCCCATGTTCGTTTTCACCTTTCTCGATCTTCCCCATCCTCCTCCCCCTCCACCTTGCATTGTCTCTCTCTCTCTCTCTCTCACCCTGGGGGGAACCACTACGTAAGTTGTCCCCCCTCATCCTCATCATCCTCGTCGCCTCGTCATTCCTCCTCTGCTGCTTTGCATCCTGCCCGAGTTCTCGTCGTACGTCTTCACCACAATGTCGCGGGTCTCGAAGCTCAGGACCTGCACGATCATCACGACGTCTCTACCATCAATTGCCGAGAAAGTAGGGATCGACAGGTAGCTGTAGAGCTCCAAGCAGGAGGCAAGCCACTGTCGCACAAGTTTCCCGCTCAGGGCAGACTGCTCGATCGCGCCTCCAACGTTGCCAACGCTGCCATCCCCTCCGCCTCCACCGCCATGGCCAGCACCGTCGTCGTCAGGTTTGCCTCGTTTGCCAGGGCCAGGCGCTTTGCCACGCTTGCGAGGGGGTCCTGGAGGCTCACCGTCATCCCCGTCATCTCCGCCATCATACTCGCCCCATCCTGCGTGCCAAGCACCGTCGCCGTTGTCTGCGCATTTGGCGATGTGCGACATGCTGTATACGCACCTCTCGAACCGTGACCGTGGCATCCGCACTGGTATGTAGTTGCGACGCCTGGCGCGGCGAGGCAAGGGTACACGAATGATAGATTTGTAAGAGTGCCATAATCTGCGGATGTCCGTGTCGAGCACGCTGGGGAGGTCGTTCGCGTCGTCGAGGTTTTTGTTCAGCCTCATCGTGCTGGCCAGCCAAGGCCACTCTGCCGCTCTCGTATGGGTCGCCGCTTTGGCCGCGACTGCATGCGGCCCCTCGGCCACACTATCGTCCATGGGGATCTGCAGCAGGCTCTGCACCTCAGCAGTCAGCTCAGGTGCCATCCCACTCCCGTCAAGCTGAATCGCATCCACCTGATGTCTGAGCGAGCATCCTGGAGCCAAACATTCGCATGATACTCTATGGTGTCGGATCAGTGGGGCATCGTTGAATTGCGCCACGCATCGGTCTCGAACCCCTGGTTCGCCTAGTCGGGCAAGAAGGTATGGAATTCTGTTCAAATGTTTCAGCTTCCTTTCAGATAAGTGGTGCAATGCCCTGACGCACCCTTGGACTTCCGCGAGCTCAATGGCTGAAATCCCGAGCGACTGAGCTGTCCATCTGTTGGCTTCGTCGAGCCCCGCCCTCATATGCTTCTGGGCAAAAGGACAAGCTTGCGCAAGTCGTCTGCCGTTGCTTGGAC